TAAAGAAGATAACATTATTAATAATGTTATTGGTGACATAAACTTTGAAGCTTAACCTTTTCAAATTTTTTAAAAGTAAAATCTTCAATTTACATTCTTTTTAAAATTAATTGTCAACTATTAAAAAAAGCAACGCGAGTGACAAAAAGCTCGACAACAGCGACTGACAATATCTTTATTAACTAAAACCTGGGAACGATATTTGATTTATCTCAGATTTTAGCAGTCGCTTTCCGATATTCATCAATGTAAATAATTTAAAACTAAGTCTATTTGAAAACTAATTATACTAGTGAATTAACAACTACACCTTTTCAAGATGTAATTGAGAATATGAAAATTGCAATTAGGAAATCGCAAAAGGTAATTAAAAAAGACAATATGTAAATAAGAAATCGCAATATGTAGTTAAGAATACATAACTGTAACTAAGAAGTTGTATTATGAGATTTTACGATATCTTACGATATTACTTAATATGATTTTTAATATTATAAAAAACTCTTTTGTAAGCAACGGTGCCGTTGCTCACAAAAGACTTTTGCTTAAATAAAGAAATTTTGGTATCAGTAATCGTCTTGTTGTATGGAATAAATCATTCTTAGAAAATAGGAAGTAGAAGAGTAGTAATTAACCAAATTAAGGATTGGAGAGATGTTTTTAGTGGTATTTTACAAGGGTGTGTAATAAGTCCAATTCTTTTTGTAACTTACCAAAAAACATAAATAACACATCTAAATTATTTGCTGATGATACTAAAATCATCAATCAAATTTACCACAACAACTCTTTACTAGGTCTTCAAGATGACCTTACCAAGGCATTCAAATGGTCAAAAAACGTCTTATCAAGTTTAACTGTAAAAAGTGTCATGTTATGCATATTGGAAAAAACAATCAAAAGCACATCTACTTCATACCAAATTCACAATTATACTCACAATTAGCTCTGCGTCTAAAGCAAATTGAGTAGTTGGTATGATAAAGCGTGCCTTTAGTTATATAGATAAACAGATGTTTAAAGTTCTTAATAAGACACTTAACCGTTAAAATCTTGAATACGATATTGCTAAATGGTCTCTTTACCTTAATCTATATTGGAATGAGTATATATGTTGGAACAATATTTGAACAGAAACGAGCAACTTAGGTAATTCCTTCTTATAAAACATGACGTATGAAGAAAGACTCATAAGTTTAAAGTTAACAAAAATTTTAATTCTACCTTTATGAGGTGACTTAATACAAGTTTTTTAAATCATCAATAAAATAAATAGTGTTAATCTAATTTTACATAATTGCGGTTTCTTAGAGAAAGTAAATATACAAAAAAATTAGATTCAGGCACGTGGACACAACTTTAGATACCGAGCTGAATTTACTCAAAGTGCTTCTAGACAGAATTATCTTCTTAATCGATAAGCAACCGCTTGAAATGAATTACCAATCAAATTAGTAAATTCTCTTATTTAAATCAGTTTAAAAACAATGCCTACAAAAGAAATATAAATAAAGCAAGTTATTTTTTGCGAATGTTTCAGTGTGTCAATCATACTACCTGTATTAATACAGTTACAGTTTTTTTACAAAACAAAAAAAAAAAAAACATTACGTTTTATCTTCACCTAATGACAGAAGAAGAGTTGGTAAATGTGCTGAGCAAAATGACGATTGGGTGACTCTAGCGCAAATTTTAGATGTCATATATAAAACAGTTTGCAATTGGATTTGCAGCGAAAATTGTATTGGAAGAGGTAATTTTAAATTAAAAAAATTTAACTAAGTATCAAATAGAATAAACGCTACTATATATTAAAAGTACCTTTCAGTTGACATTGGTGGCCATCAAAACAAAAATAATTAGACTAAATATTAAAAAATATTGAATATAAAAATGTCTTTATTATAAGCGTCAGCTAATGATTAAAACGTCAACGGACCTATCACGTCATCAGATAGTTTGATAGGATGAAACAAATTATAACCTTTATTTGTAAAAAAACGTAAAGACCTGCAAACGGGGAAGAAAAACAATACGGAAAATACCTGCTTCAAATGATACAACCATATACTTGATTGCAGCTATATCAACAACAAATGTCGTCATGGTAGAAACTTGCTGAAAATTATTTAATGCAGATTATTTAATGGATGTTGGCTATGTCTCACTAGTGGGTTAAATCCGGGAACCCTTTAGAAGATTTGGTCATTGTATCAGACAACACTATTTCAAGCTCGTAAGGAAAGGGTGTCTGAAAACTCACCAGCTCAGTTTTTGCATTTAGGTACATACAGTTCAATGTTAAATCCGGTGGTAACAATTTAGAAAATCCATTAGAAAGCTTTGTTCTGATAATCAATATTATACTTTTTCTTTATTACAACATTTATGTTCTTAATTTCATATTATATTACATTTTATTAATGTAATGTAATGATAATATTGCTTGTCAAATTTTCAATAGACTAAAGATTGTTTAAAAAACAATTTAAATAATTAAACGGAGGTTAAACTAACTTTTGAATAGTAGAACTTAATAGGAAACTTGAAATGAAATTTTTTTTGAACTTTTTATATCGTGATGTAAAACTTTACTTTTTAAATATTTTCTTTTATTAGTTAAAAAAAAAATCAAAATGATTACTTTAGTCGAACGAACTTCAGACTTTCGTTTCTAAATACACCAAGAGTAAAATCTTTATCAAGTTTTATTGTTTTACTGTCATCAGGAGACAAAGACCATTAGTAACAACGAGTATACATTATACTAAGTTACAAGATATTAAACTATAATACTAAATTAAAAACAATGAACAGTGTCATCAGTTTTTTACAAATCGTGCGGTGAACACTTGGAATAAGGGTGGAATGCAAGAAGCAAACTTGAGAAAAGTTCGGCTTGAACTCTATTTTGTGACAAATAGCGGCAGAGTATTTTTTGAGGAGAAAACCCATACTCTGTCGCTATTGGTTATAATGTAAAATTCAAGTCGAGCTTGACTCAAGTTCGCTTCTTGTATTCTACCCTAAATTGCCTAAAAACATAGTCAGTGTTACAAATATAAATAGTTTCAAAGCAAGATTGGATAAATTTTTTGAATTGGAAAACCTTGAAGATGATTAATGATGGAATTGGCTTTATTCCCATTTAATTAACTTATTGTAAAGTAATTTGTAAATTTTTATGAAGGCCACTAAAACCAGAGTTGGTTGCACAAGCTATAGCTTGTTGCGGTAAAATAAATAATAATAATAATAATAATAATAATAATAATAATAATAATAATAATAATAATAATAATAATAATAATAAGTATATTGACGGAACGATTTCTTAAAACATAGGAACGATTTTAAATAAAAAATCGTTACTATTTTTTCGCGTAGGAACGATTTCTTAAAAAATAGGAACGATTTTTTATAAATCGGAACGATTTCTTGATTAAAAAGTCGTAGGAACGATTTCTTAAAATATCAGAACGATTTCCCTAAAAAACAGGAGCGATTTTTTCACGAGTAAATATAATTAACCTAATAAGCTTCTTTGTTGTGAGTTTTATCTAAATTGATTTATATGATATCGTGTTATATCATTAGGGCTTTGCATACAAGTTTTTCTAAAGCATTAATTTCATTTCTCCTAAATTATAATTGTAGAGTTTCTTTTAAAGTATTTTTTAGGAATGAGCAGAAGAATATACCCAAGTGTGAGTGTTTATTTTTTTATTTATTATGCACCTTGAGATTCAACGCCATGTTGAATATATTAAGAGCCCATGCTAATCAGAGTTTCTTCAATTCATGATGTCAAAATGTTCATCAAATTTGTTCCTGATTATTTTTACAGTTTTGTCAAAAAATAATTACTTCTGGTAGTTTATTTCACTGGAATACAAGTAGAATTGCAAAACACTGAATTTTCCAGTGTTTTTGCAACTCTACTTGTCAGAAAACATTTCCTTGATTTGTTGCTTTTTATAAATTTAATATTAAAACATGCTTTATGACCTCATATGTTTGCAGCTAGACCATATGCTGAAATATAATTTGCTGATTTTGGTTGTTAATACTATAAAGATTTGATACTCTCAAGTCAAATTTATGTAAAGTTTTATAATATTGAAATAAATTTCCTTATTTTTCTTCTGGTTTTTTAATTAGTAAGTTAAAGTTTTTTTTAGCCTCACTGAATAGGGTAGATCTCATAACTCAGGATTCAATTTAGTTGCTCATTGTTAAACACTTTCTAATTTTTGTAAATTTTATTTGTTACAGGGGTTCCATATTTGTGCTGCATATTCAAGAATAGTTTATACAAAAATACAATGCAGAATATTTATTGTGTTTTTGTCCTTGTAAGCAATTGGTTTGTATAATTTACCTAACTAATTAATTTCTTTATTTACAACATTTACAAAATGCAAACTTAGGAGAAAAATATATTTCGAATGTTTTCTGAATCTTTTACCCAAAAATTTTTCCGGAGTTTTAAAATATGGTCTGAATAATTTATGCAATAACCTTGTAATTTTTTTTAAAAAGACTGTTGTTTAATGCATAAAAGAATATTAATTTCTAAATAATTTCTTAGATTATTTATAAAACAAGGATACTGATTGATATTTTTTTGCTTACAGTTTACTTCCATTTTTAAATACTCACATTCAGGGCCGGTGCAAAGGGGTTATGACACCCTAGGCAAAACTTCAAAGGTCGCACCCCTTTTACGTAAAAAAATCAAAATAAAATGCAAAATAAAGTGAAAACACCAGGTAAGTATTTATTTATTTAAAAATATCAAAACTGTACTTTGCGTGCCTTTTTCTGGGCAAAATTGATCACAAGGTCCTTCAGGTCCAGCTTGTCTGCAAGTTCGTGCTTAATGGAAAGAGTTGCCAACCCAACCAATCTGTCTTGGCACATGGATGATCGAATGTATGTCTTTATCAATTTTAGTTTGGAAAAACTACGCTCTCCACTAGCGACAGAAACAAGTAATGTCAGCAAAATACGAAGAGCAATACAAAGGTTGGGTAGACTGTCTTCCAAGTTTTGGCAAAGAATAAATCGAAAACATCTTGAGGAGACTTTGTTTCTTTAGAAAGTCGTCGTGCAATAGACTGTAGTTCGCCACACAAATCTGATGCAACTAAATCTCTGTTATCACCATGTTGTAAAGCAGATTCTAGTTTCATGCAACATTCCAATATTTCTTGTGAAGTTTTACTCTGTAGACCATGAATATGATATAAGAAACCAAATACAGATTCAATTGTTCTCATTTGTTCAAACCTTTCTTCAACCGACCTTATTGCTGTGTCAAGTATAGCAAAGAAAAAATTCACTTTGAAATTTTGTTTTGGATCTTGCACAGGCTCATCTTCAGCTTCATATGCAAATTGCTTTTTTCTCCGCCGTAATCGTGGTTCTGCCTCAAAGGTTGGTGGTATCTCCAAATCCTTAGCAATTTCAGCAGCATCCACTAGCATTCTTGCAAAACCTATGTCACTCCTACAGTCAACCAAATAGGCTTGTGTGTGTTGTAACTGTTGTACAGCAGCATGAATATCCAAATCTTTAGCTTGGAGCTGCTTACTTGTTATATTGATTTCAAAAAGTATGTTGTACCATACAACAATTGAAACCACGAACTTAAACTTTGCAACACTATTCGCAAGTGCTTTAGCATCACTGCGTGCAGTGCTTCCTGAGGATCCAGTTAGAGAAGTATCATCAGCTATTTCTAGCAGTGCATCATATATTTTACCAAGTTCATATGGCAAAGGCTTTATAGCATCTATTCTGCTTTCCCATCTTGTTTCACTTAGAGGTTTAACAGTTAACGAAGGTTGATGACTAGTGAAAACTACCCACCGATGTGTTGAAGATGAAAAATATACATACACACGTTTTACAATATCAAAAAAACTTGTAGCCATTAGACAACAATTTGCAGCATCATTGACAACCAAATTAAGAGTATGCGCGCTGCAAGGAACAAACAATGCTTGAGGATTAATGTTTAATATTTTCTTTTAAACACCATTATTTTTGCCTATCATATTTGCGCCATTATCGTAGCCTTGGCCACGTAAATTATCAATAGGTAACTCCATTTCTTCTAGTTGTTGTATTATCGTTTCTGCCATATAGGCTCCAGTTGTTTTCTTTAAAGGTACAAAGCCTAAAAAATGTTCTTTGATACTAAACTCCTTTTTCAATGAATCAACTTTAACAAAACGAATAATTATTGTCATTTGCTCAACATGGCTACAGTCAGGAGTACCATCGAGAACTATTGAAAAATATTTCATTGCATTTGCTGTTTGTATGATTTCTTTCTTAATAGCATTTCCTAACAGTTGAATAAGTTCATTTTGTATATCTTTGCCAAGATAGTGTGTATGAAGCTCTTTATTTGATATCTTTCGTAGATGTTCGTTCATTAATGGATCAAAAATGGCTAAGTATTGCACAAATTTAAAAAAATTCCTATTATTGGCACTGTACAATGTTTCATTTGTACCGCGAAAAGCTAGATTCTGTTCACCCAAAACTCTCACTAATGCTATTAAACGCTTTAGTATTTGCTGCCAATATGCTTTAGTATTTGCTGAACGTACATATTGCTCAATAAGCAAAAGCGTTGTTTTTTATTAGCATATAAAAAAACTTATCAATTTTTAGGCGCCCCTAAACTTTGGCGCCCTAGGCGATTGCCTAGTTCGCCTATAGGGTGCACCGGCCCTGCTCACATTAGTCAATTTCTAGATTTTAGAAAGATCACAATTTGTAAAACTTTGTTGATAAATAAGTGACAGTGGTATTGAAAAACTTTCAAAGCAAAGTTTTAACACGTTTAAGTTTACTTTGTCATACCCACTAGATTTATATATGATTAATTTTGATAAGTATAGTTTTACAAGTGCTTGATCAACAGCAATTTTTTCAAATCTAGTATTTATTTGTGCTTTAAAATTACATACATTTGCATTCTTTTCTTTAAAGTAAACAGAATGGAGGAAATATTTCAAAATATTAACAATGCATTTGTCATTTGTTGTGCCAGTATTATTATTAAGTACTCTTATAGGATTTTTTACTTTCCACTTTTTTTTAATTATATGTAAAATAGTAATTTGGGCTCATTTTTTACCTTAGTTATCAGTTTTTTTCATATATTATCACAATACTGATTTTTTACATTAGAATGTTTTTTTTTTAATTTAATTTAGTATATTTCTCTTTGGAGCCAGATATAGACCAAATTATTTATTTCCTTATTTTCCATTAATTATTTTTGTACTAATTTTTTTTTCTCAAGCTATTTAACACCCGAAATTTGGTTGCTTTATTATTATTTTTTGTCCTAGATATTTTCTGAACAAGTTTTTTTTACAAAAATAAAAAGACTTAAAAAAATGGTATCAGCATTCCTATGCAGAATCCACAATTGTTTATGTACTAATTATGGCTGTCTCTTCTTACTACGTGACTATC